TTTTTTTTTTTTTTTTTTTTTTTTTGGTAAAGTTTCATCTCCATTCTACTTGTGGGGAGGTTGGCACACAGGTCGGGTCGCCGCTCCTTTTTCAGATTGCGCGCGCGCGCGCGCGTGCCGCCTACGTTGTGGACTTCAACAGCACCAAATGCTCATCAGCCCCGCGTCGGAATCAAATGCACAATTAATGATTGCATCTGAATGATTTTAATCAAGTCACGATGTTCGTCAATTCTGCAATCAATGCTCTCAGCCAAGCCTTCTTCCACTCATCACGATGGTGAATGGATTGTTGATTGAAATCGGTGAAAACGAGCGGTTATGGGTTTCGTTCGGTTGATTTCTCTGCTAATGTTTCTTCGCACTCGAGTATTAATTAAGTTAATTAGTCCATTGACATGCTATAAACACATCATCAGATTTTTATGGGCTTGGGGGTTTCCTTTTTCTTTTCACGATTTTGTGGGCATCATCCCTGTGATGTCTGTACGGCGGCAGTTGATTTTAATTCTCTGTTTCCTGCTGGTCGACAAACGTTGTGGACATGGTAGCTGTAATTATTGTTATTAGTTAATTAATTTGGATTGTGCGGGCGTATGCGCACTGGCTTTACTTGTACACATGTATGTGGAGAGAGAGAGAGAGAGAGAGAGAGGAGGAGGAAGTTGGAAGGGGGAAAATCCGATCGAACAAACGTGTGCGTGAGTGAGAGAGAGAGAGAGAGAGAGAGAGAGAGAGAGAGAGAGAGAGAGAGAGAGAGAGAGAGAGAGAGAGAGAGAGAGAGATGTATTTGTCTGTTTACTGATTCTGGGGCCGTATGATTGGAACAGGTTCTGCGCGTTGATTTGGAAAATATCGCTGCGTCGTCTTCATGGGAGTGGGGCGGCGAGATATACAGTATTTCGCGGAGCCCTAATTTTCTTTCAGCAGGAGGCTGGCGAGTGAGAGAGAGAGAGAGGTATTGTTATTCAACCGATTCGTGGACCGGAGGGCGTGATCGAAGCGAGGGGGAGGAGGCTACGCCGAGGCTACGGGAGGCTAGGGGTGGGGTCGGGGAGACGAGGGGGGAGGGAGGGCAGGCGAGGCGACCGGAGGGAGTGATCGAGGCGAGGCGAGGCGAGGGTAAGGCGAGGGGAAGGCGAGGGGGAGGGGGAGGAGGCGAGGGGAAGACGAGGGGGAGGGGGAGGAGAGGCAAAGCGCGGGAAATTCGCGGTTATCTGGCGAGGACGGGGGAAGGCGGAAGCCATGGAGATCGACTCGGACATTGCGCGAGTACAAGCGGAGAGGAGGAAGGCGGAAGAACTGGCGGCGCTGAGTGTGGCCGGCGGGTTTGATACTGACTTGTACGGAGGAATCGCTAATCGGTATGAAGGATACGTGAAGTCCATCCCAGTCAATGATGCCGACGAAGAGGAGCTGGACCCTACGGAGCGAGAGGTTGTTAGGTAAGAGTTTGCTTCACAGGATCCATGCGGTGACCAGGACCGTCGATTGACAGGATCGATCCATCCATCCATCGTGGTATTAGCAGGGATGTCATCAATAAGAGCGAGCACCCATCTGCGACCGTCTTCTTCCCCCGAATAGAACGTGCTCGGTCATTATAGTAACTGTGTGTTGGGGCAACTTCCACTCTAGACAGCGATAATGACTGCTTTCTACTCGGCGAAAGGCGGTGGTGTTATGGATGGGGTTTATTAATCTGTTCCTCAATGGATAGATACTGGTATATGGGTAATTAACGTCTCAAGTTCATCGCGCCATCCATCTTGAACGGTCGGTATCCGCCGTCCCGATCGGGACCTCATCACTTCGGTTTGAATTAAGCCTTTGTACGCTGATTGGTAGTCAGCCTCCCTCCGTCCTTCCTTTCTCCCTCCCTCCCTCCCTCCCTTTCATCAGAGGTGTTATTACTCCTTTGACGGATTTATGTCGCGGTATGCTGACGCATGTTTTATTTTATTTTTCCTTTTTTTTTATAGCTGACGCGCGTTTTCACCCGGCTTGGTTCCGGTTTACCCGCGGGGAGGTCGCACTTCTCTCTTCCCCCGAACACAAGGTACCCTCATTTTGGCTGCATCAGACAGGAAAGATAGCATGTATACATTCTGCATCAGACAGGAAAGATAGCTTGTATACATTCGGCATCGGGGTGCGTTGTGGTCGCGGGGGGGGGACTGGAACTATTTCGCACGGTTCGGTGTGCAGCCTCCTTCTTGCCCATCTCCAAACCAGTACCTATCGGAGCAGGACTACCCTGCCATCCGCCCAGCAGGGGTGTACACGTGTGTGCACCAAGACACAGCTGTGAACCCCGCAAAATCCACCCACTCCCCCTGACTCAGGGTAGACCACCCTCGCAGTATCCACGGCCCCTCCCTCCGAAAGCCTCACCGGCCTCCATGATGAAGCCTGTACGGAGAGAACCCCCCAACCCCATCTCAAAGAGACACCCTGGCCCCCCCCTCAAGTACCCTGTGAGATAGCACATGTCCCCCTTACTATGCTGTAAAGCTCTGATAGCACAAGTCCTTGTTTTGCTTTTTTTCGCCTTCGCGCTCTGATTCACAGTGTGACAATATATATATTTAATTTGAACCATTTCTCGATTTATGCGTGTCTTCCTTGCGCAGAGGCCATGCTAATCTTCTCCCTCTGCATCATTCCAATTTTAACGGATGTCCCGAAGGACTACTAACCACAACATTTAGGAAGAAGAAGAAGAAGAAGAAGAAGAAGAAGAAGAAGAAATTGGATTTCTCTTTGCACCACCATACACAAGATTTTAACGTCGATATCTGGACCACATCAGCTCTCTCTCTCTCTCTCTCTCTCTTTCTCTCTCTGTGGAAAGAAAAACAAACATAAGCCCTCAGGGCTGCGTTCCCCACATTGCGGTAGTCAATAATCAATTAACTGTACTGCTCCCCAATCCGCTTAAACGCTGAGTCATTTTCCTTACAACGCCGAACCAGTTTCCTTTAAAAAAAAAAAAAAAAAAAAAAAGGCTACGTAAACAAACCTCCGAACAGCTCTCCTCTCCTTTATTTGCCACTCTCAAATTTCTGGCGACCTCTCTGTTCCATCCTCCACACTATTCGGGCCTGATTGCTACTGTCTTCACCGGAAGAGACGCCGGTCATTATGCCTGTATTTTGTGCAACTTTCAGACTAGATACAGCGATAATGGCCGGGCGTTCTATTCGAGTGAAGACGGTAGAACCCTCCGGTTCGTAGCATCAAGCAAAGTATTACTGTACTGTATCTGATCCCCCCTTTCTCCTGCCGATCATGACTGTTCACATTCGCAAAAACCCACTCTGCAGCATTGAGATGGGGAGAATAAGGAGAGGGAGGTGGTAGAAATTGACGTGACCGTCGCTGGTGAGTTCATTATTAACAGTTTCACCTCTATGTGGAAAGGAACTTTATTCTCGTCCGCACATAGCGAGGAGTTTGCATTAAAAAAAATAAAAAATAAATAAGCAACCCATGCAAATCCGACAGCCAGGCAGCTGAGAGGGGCAAGTGAGAGATGGCTCCCACGGGCAGGCTATAATAAACAACTATAACTTAGGCAGCCCGTGGGAGCCATCTTTAACTTGCCCCTCTCAGCTGCCTAGCTGTCGGATTTGCATGGGTTTCTTATTTATAAAAAAAGAGGGACCATAAGGGAAAAAAAGGGAACAGTTCAAGAGTACGTCAATCAGGCTAACAGAGGCAGGGGTCAGGGGTGAGGGGTGGTACATTGTTTCCTCGGGAAGTAATCAATGCTGCCCGTTGAGCCTTTCCCACCATAAGGGGGAGGAGCGTGTGTGAGTACTCTTTGTAACCTTTCTGACGTGCTGGTGGAATAGGAAACCGGACTCATGCTCTTCAGAATGGAAAAGGAGCCAGAACCTTAAGGTTCTCTTTGGCCTTCAGATATGATCGTCGAACTGACCAGCCCTAGGTAATTCAGGATTGAAGTACTTACACATTTGCTTCCAGTGGAGTTCGAATTCAGGTCTGTATTTCAACAGTTCAGGGGTGTATCAACTGAGCCAGGACCGTTGGTGGAGTTTGCAATTTTGGCAGGCAGAAGTTTTCACACAATGAACTGAGGGTACAAGTCACCATTGCTTGGATGTGTCCATTATGGACAAGACCTTCATTGTAGATAAGAGTCGTAAGACTATAATTTTCTGCCGCTGTCCATCATCAATTCTGTTCTACCTCCCCTGACGTGCCATTGTACAGGTGTCACGGCAGAGGTATGGCAGAGAGAGAGATCTTGGTTCACACAGAGTCACAGAGAGAGAAAGGGAGAGAGAGAGAGAGAGAGAGAGAGAGAGAGAGAGAGAGAGAGAGAGAGAGAGAGAGAGAGAGAGAGA